TTGAATTCTAATTCAAATTTAGATATGCCATTAAAGTAATCACAATAATAAATTCCATTCATTTCATATTCTTTTACTTTCTTTTCCCCCCAACATTTATTGTCTAGGCAGGGCAATCAAAATTTCTCTGTGTTCTTTCCTTTTCATGGACTAGACTTATTTTATAGTTGTTTGTTTCATAACTGTATATCCCATCAAGGATGTCAGACTATTGTGAGAATCTCAGCAGCAGCTCTGACTTCACGGAGGCCAAAGTCTAGACACTTGTCTCTGTATGTGTAAAACTCAATTGTTGTTCTTTAATTTTCTTGTTTCTTATTGTACCTATACATGTCAAACTCTTTATTGTGAGCTTAGCTACGAATTTAAAAGTAATGCTTGCTACTATATTCAAAAGTTTTCTATAATACAAGTTACCATTCAAAATATAAAAATAGTTTATATTTTAATAAACGTATTTAGAACACATTGAACACTAATAAACTGTATTTATCTGCAACAATTAGGAAGATCACATATGATTACACATGCATATTATAGAATTATGTTACCTTTTTTTCTATAACCGTTAATAGATTTTGTATTTTTCACATGAGGTTATAGCTAAAAATGTTTAAGTTCCATTGTGTTTAGGCAGAATTCAGAGCACGTATTTTAGTATGAGAATACTCAGATTTAAAATAAGATTTTAATACTTTCTTATTGTCTGTCCTTGGGCAATTAATTCTTTAAACCTTGGTTCCTCATATATAAAATATAAAGTAAATCTTTGTTTCTCAGTATAGTTATAAAAAATGAATGAAAATTTGCATTTAAAGTAACTAGTACAGTACTTAAATAACATCTTATTGGATAGACATTCCACCTCTTTTCTGGGGAACAGGGTTTTAAAACAGTAACAAGTGCTTTGAAGCTAACCCCTTGAACTTCACAAATGTAACCCGGAGTTGAGTTATGAGAGTATTAATGAAAATATCTGACTGGAATATAATTATGTTTTCCATTGCATATGCATGATTAAATATCAATTTATTCCTCTACCAATCTCATCTGAAGTCAGTTAATTCTCAAGTCTTACATTTTATATATAGATGCATGGTAAATATCAATTTAGAATCTTTAGGACGATGAAACTAACATTGTCAATCAATTTTGGGTTTCTATATAAAAATGACATAAGAAAGAGCAAAACCTTTCCATTCATCTTAAAGGCTATTAAATGTACAGTCTAACAACATACCAGAATCTCTGGGACACATTTAAATCAGTGAATAGAGGGAAATTTATAGCATTAAATGTCCACATGATAAGCCAGGAAAGATCTAAAATCGACACCCTTATATCACAATTAAAAGAAGTAGAGAGCAAGATCAAACAAATTCAAATGCTAGAAGGAAAGAAGTAATTAAGATCAGAGCAGAACTGAAGGAGATAGAGACACAAAAAACCCTTCAAAAATCAATAAATTCGGGAGCTGTTTTTTGAAAAGATCAACAAAATAGAAAGTCCGCTAACCAGAATAATAAAAAAGAAAGGAGAGAAGATTCAAATAGATGCAATAAAAAATGATAAATGGGATATTACCACCAATCCCACAGAAATACAAACTACCATCAGAGATTACTAAACACCTCTGTGCACATAAACCAGTAAATCTAGAAGATATAGATAAATTCATGGACCCTTACACTCTCCCAAGACTAAATCAGGAAGAAGTTGAATCCCTGAATAGACCAATAATAAGGTCTGAAGTTGATGCAGCAATTAATAGCCTACCAACCAAAAATGGCCAGGACCAGATGGGTTCACAGCCAAAATCTACCAGAGGTACAAAGAGGAGCTGGTACCATTCCTTCTGAAACTATTTCAAACAATACAAAAGGAGGGAATCCTCCCTAACTTATTTTATGAGAATAACATCATCCTGATACCAAAACCTGGCAGAGACACAACTAAAAAAGAAAATTTCAGGCCAATGTCCCTGATGAATGTTGATGTAAAAATCTTCAATAAAATACTGGCAAACCAAATCCAACAGCACATCAAAAAGCTCATCCATCATGATCAAGTTGGCTTCACCCCAGGGATGCAATGGTGGTTCAACATCCACAAATCTATAAATGTAATTCATCACATAAACAGAACCAAAGACAAAAACAACATGATTATCTCAATAGATGCAGAGAAGGCCTCTGACAAAATTCAACAGCCCTTTAAGCTAAAATCTCTCAATAAACTAGGCATCGATGGATCACATCTCAAAATAATAAGAGCTATTTATGACAAACCCACAGCCAATTTCATACTGAATGGGCAAAAACTGGAAGCATTCTGTTTGGTAACTGGCACAAAACAAGGATGCCCTCTCTCATCATTCCTAATCAACACAGTATTGGAAGTTTTGGCTAGGGCCATCAGGTAAGAGAAAGAAATAAAGGATATTCAAATAGAAAGGATGTTGAAATTGTCCTTGTTTGCAGATGACATGTTTGTATGTTTAGAAAACCCCACTGTCTAAGCCCAAAATCTCCATAGGCTAATAAGGAACTTTAGCAAAGTCTCAGGATAAAAAAATCGATGTGCAAAAATCACAAGCATTCCTGTAAAATAATAGACAAACAGAAAGCCAAATCATGAGTGAATCCCATTCACAATTGCTACAAAGACAATAAAATACCTAGGAATACAACGTCCAAGGGAAGTGAAGGACCTCTTCAAGGAGAACTATCAACCACTGCTGAAGGAAATAAAAGAGGACACAAACAGATGGTAAAACATTCCATGCTCATTGTTAGGAAGAATCAAAATCATGAAAATGGCCATACCGCTCAAAATAATTTATAGATTCAATGCTATCCCCATTGAGCTACCAATGACTTTCTTCACAGAACTGGAAAAAACACCTTAAACTACTATCCAGAATCTATGGTAAACTTAAACAAATTTGCAAGATAAAAACAAGCCCATCGGGCCGGGCGCGGTGGCTCAAGCCTGTAATCCTAGCACTTTGGGAGGCCGAGGCGGGTGGATCACGAGGTCAAGAGCTCGAGACCATCCTGGTCAACACGGTGAAACCCCGTCTCTACTAAAAATACAAAACATTAGCTGGCGCGTGCCTGTAATCCCAGCTACTCAGGAGGCTGAGGCAGGAGAATTGCCTGAACCCAGAAGGTGGAGGTTGCGGTGAGCCGAGATCGTGCCATTGCACTCCAGCCTGGGTAACAAGAGTGAAACTTCATCCCAAAAAAAAAAAAAAAAAAACCAAGCTCATCAAAAAGTGGCCAAAGGATATGAACAGATACTTTTCAAAAGAAGACGTTTATGCAGCCAACAAACATGAAAAAAGCTCATCATCACTGGTCATTAGAGAAATGTAAATCAAAACCACATTGAGATACCATCTGACACCAGTTAGAATAGCAATCATTAAAAAAAAAAAAAAAAGGAGACAACAGATGCTGCAGAGGATGTGGAGTAATAGGAACACTTTTACACTGTTGGTGGTAGTGTAAATTAGTTCAACCATTGTGGAATAGAGAGTGGCAATTCCTCGAAGACCCGGAAATAGAAACATCATTTGACCCAGCAATCCCATTACTGAGATATATCCAAAAGATTATAAATCATTCTATTATAAAGACACATGCACATGTATGTTTACTGCAGCACTGTTCACAATAGCAAAGACTTGGAACCAACCCAAATGCCCATCAATGATAGACCGGATAAAGAAAATGTGGCACATATACACCATGGAATACTATGCAGCTATAAAAATTGATGAGTTTCTTTCCTTTGCAGGGACATGGATGAGACTGGAAACCCTCATTCTAAGCTAACTGATACCAGAATAGGAAACCAAACACCGTGTGTTCTCACATATAAGTGGGTGTTTAACAATGAGAACACATGGACCCAGAGAAGGGAACATCACACACTGGGGCCTGGGGGTTACGGGGCTGGGGGAGGAATAGCAGGGTGTGGGGGTGATTGGGGAGGGATAGCATTAGGAGAAATACTTGATGTAGATAATGGGGCAATGGATGCAGCAAACCACCACCATGGCACGTGTATGCCTGTGTAACAAACCTGCATGATCTGCACATGTACCCCAGAACTTAAAGCATAGTAAAAACCCAAAAAATAAATGTACAGCCTATATTCATTCCTATAGTGAAAAATATTAACTTTTACAAATTATTGGTTCAAAGAGCACAGAAAAAGTAACACAACATTCAAATATTTTATTGATTTGACATGTAAGAATTTTTGTATGAGTATATAGTGTTACTTACAGTGAGTAGACGGCTGGTACAATGGCTCACACCTGTAATCCCAGCACTTTGGGAGGCCGAGGCAGGAAGATCCCTCGAGGTCAGGAGTTCAAGACAAGCCTAACCAACACAGTGACATCCTGTCTCCACTGAAAATACAGAAAATTTTGCTGGGTATGGTGGTGCACCTGTAATCCCAGCTACTTGGGAGATTGAGGCAGGAGAATCCCTTGAACCCGGAAGGTGGCAGTTGCAGTGAGCTGAGATCACGCCACTGCGCTCCAGCCTGGCCAGAGAGCAAGACTCTGTCTCAAATAAGTAGATAGATAGATAGATAGATATTTAAATAAATAGAAGGGGCTCAAATTTAAGCATCCTGTTCTTTCATAAGGTCTGTGGTAAATCACAAAAGCCTCCTTCACATCCCTGAAGTATACCAATAAAACTATCCAATATATCCTAATTTTCTTGCTGCATAATTTCTGCCACTAACAAATGTTGTTTTTCAGAACAAAATAAATTTTTAGAATGCACACCTGTATTATAAATATTATGTGATGAATACTAATATAATTACTCTCTCTACCAGATGTTCTCTATTTTTGCATTTATAAGAGTGGAAACATTTTCTGTTATTCTTTATAAAATATACACATATATATTTATACCAAGCTAAATCCTATACTTTATATGCAAATTGGTAAGATTTTCTAATACAATACATACCCAATCCTTTGCTTAATCCTTAAAAGGACTTTGATTCTTCATCCTTTCTCATTGAAATCCATGAATGGAAAAATCTTTTCAACAGCTTTCACTGTTAATGCATCTGTCTGTGAACATAACCTAGACACAAGGAAGAAAAATAGATATGTGAACATTCCACATGTATATTGTGCTAAAATAACCATCTGATAGTCTGAGTATGAAAGATACATAACATGTATTGAAAGGTAAAGTAAAAGTATAATCTTGGTCACAAAACAGACACCTATTACAATAGAAACTTCATTTTTACTGAAATACTCAAGGATGTCTAAGCCTAGTCATGTGAAAGTACTAGGTGCACACAATGTAAAGAATTATCATAGCTTGCAATTATGAGTATAAGAAGATTAAATAGCTCAGTTCCTTTCTTCTTTTTTTCATAAGCTGAGTTTATCTTCCTTTTCAGAATTATCATAGAACAGTACTGACAAACTCCAGACAATTGTAACTAGGTTTTTAATTTTCATTTTCGAGCATTATTTTACAAAATTATGATGACAGATGTCCCTGCCAAATACAGCATGAAAATTTAGGCTCTAGTTGAGTTAGAAGACTTGAATAAAACATGGATCAATATGACATTCATTGTTCTGTTATCGAAAGTAAATTTGGGAAGAAATTATAAAGCCATTCATAATTAGCAAGGTAAATCATTTCAGTTGATACAACACTCTAAATATTACAGAGAAATAATGGTCTTTGTCACCTCCCATGTGGGGACAATTGTTCTTGCTTCCTACCTCATCTCACTGGTGTGTATTCTCTTACTCCAATACATATGTACAACACTGTCAGATGATCTTCTTAAAAACTTGCATTCACATCTCTGATCAAATACTTCTATGGGCTACCAAAAGCCTACAAAGGAAAAAACAATAAATTCATTTGCATGAAACTGAACACTGTCATTTATTTGGTCTCAGCTTCCTGACTTACCATTCGCTCTCTGTATCTATTGGCCTTTTTCTCTAGGGACACTGACATAGTCACTGTTTGCTCAACTCTTATTCTCATCCTTCTGATACCATATATTTCCTTACACAGTTCAAATCAATGGAACTCCTATCTATTTTGTCTTATTTTTAAAAGTCTATGAATATTTACATTTACAAGAGTAACTTATAGCCATTCAAATTAGGAAAGTAACATAAATATATATTTTATAAAAGTTAATAATCTCACCTTTTCTTTTTAAATTGATTATAATGAAGAATCTGGTCTGATGCCTTCACATTTTTCTATATACCATCAAAACCACAGTAGCTACTAAATAGCATTACTTATTTTTATGGATTTTTTGATTATCTGCCTTGCAAATATGTTTTCGCAATCACTCTTACTAAATAGATGTGTGTTTGTGTGAGCGAACACCTACAAACACACACACATATTCATGGTTTGCAATTATTTTTATCACCCTGTTTTAATGTTTTCTCTATACTAATTTTTGTCACCTTTTTCTCTTACAATTTCCTCATTCCACTCCGTTATAATGTATTCTCCTTTATAGATTTATTTTTACATTGTAAGTATAAAGCTTTAGTTAATCCGGTGTGTGTGTGTGTGTGTGTGTGTGTGTGTGTGTGGTGAGTAATATGAGAGCCTTAATCTTCTCCTCCACCTCCCGCATTGTATTCTCATGTTCAAATTTCTTCAAACAAAATAATAGAAAATACGTTTTATTTAAAATTTCAATCACCTTCTATGTTTTAGTTCAATCTCCTGATAGTCAACCATCAATCACGATGAGTGAAAGATCCGCATTTATGATCCTACTCGGTCTTTCATTTTTTCACCTACTGATGTGTCTCACCTTTTGTCCCATCACTCTGGTAACAGGTGTTTTGTTGAGGTAATAAATATCCTTCCTTATTACTTAACAAATGATTTGAAATCAACAAGTATACTTTAGTGCCTTTTTAAATACAAATCTAGAACAGTGAGTTCTGTATAGAGTGGTCAATACGTGTGTGTGTGTGTGTGTGTATGTATAAAATGAATAAATTAACTGCCACATTTAATAGCCATTTTATAATCCCAAGTTTTACATTCTTTATTCCCCCATACTATCACATATTTTGTTTTGTTTCAAACTTTGCTTTGTCCATTTCTGGTCTTACTTCTTTGTCTTTTTTTTTCAGATATTCTTTCAGCCATTCTTTTGATTTGGCTTTCGCTAGGGCTCTGCTCTTGTTTTTCCTCTTTACTGTCTCTTTTCTCTTCATTTATTTATGTATTTATTTTTTGAGATGGAGTCTCACACTGTCTTCGCAGCTGGAGTGCAGTGACATGATCTTGGCTCACTGCAACCTCTGCCTCTTGGGTTCAAGCCATTCTCCTGCCTCAGCCTCCCAAGTAGCTGGGACTACAAGCATGCGCCACCATGCCCAAATTTTTATATATTTTTTTATTTTTAGTAGAGACGAGGTTTCAGCATGTTGGTCAGGCTGGTCTTGAACCCCTGACCTCGTGATCTACCCACCAGCCTCCCAGAGTGCTAGGATTACAGGAGTCAGCCACTGCATCCGGCCTCTCTTCATATTTTATTTTACTTTTTGGGAAGGCCTATTAAGTGCTTAAGAACAAGCTAACATGATGTCACATTTTCCACATTTAGCAGTATAAGCACCTCACAATCCAGTCTAGATTTAAAGGTGAAAAATAATAGACTTCACTTCTAGACAGAATAAGTATACAGACAAACATTTGAAGAATTTTGGGTGGTCATTTTCACATATAATTCACCACCGTCTTCAATCTTCAGCATTTCTAACCCCTCCTTGTGCAAAATAAAACAAATCTTTCCCCAAATTTGTCTTATCCAATTACAATATTGATTTGAAGTCCAGAATTGTATCATCTAAATGAACATAATGGATGAAGATCCCTGGGCTCGATTCCCAAGAGCTGGAGAATAATTTTAGATTTCCATCCACACTTTCCACTTATTCTCCATACAATGTTTCTTTAAGATATTTAATGTAATTAGGGCTCTACTGTATTTAGTACACTCCTAAAACGTATAGAAAAAAAATGTTCTCAATAAGACAGGATGATGGTGGGGCCATTTCACAATATTGATTTGGATACTGTCTTTTCTGGTTAATCCAGGAAAATATTAGATTCAAATGCAGTATTTATCTATATTGAACTTGTAGTTAAAAAATAAATTTACTAGGCTCTTTTACATGACTTCTTCATTAACTTCTTAGGAATTCATTTGTTAAAAATAGAAAACAACAATCTTGCATGTTCTTTACATGTACCCCAAAACCTAAAATGCAATAAAATAAAAAAAAATAGAAAACTGAATAAGTATATTTACTATTATTAAAATAGCTATTATGACCAGAAGGGTGGGCACAAATAGTATAGACGTAAATGTAAGTATGTAGTCTGTAGAAGTGAGGTCTGCTACTTAGAGAAGGAAGTTTGGATGTGGAAGACATGCAAATTTATGTATTACAATAATAATTAAAGAACATCCTGTTTGTTTCAACTTGGACATCATAGTGAATATTACCATCTTTAATTTTCATGCATACTCTTTACAATTTATTATATTTAGTAATCTTAAATAGAATACATTAAATTTTCATGGCTTTATAAAAACACTTCAATAAAATTTGAATAAAATAATAACATTTGTACCTAAAATAGAGGTCACTGACACATTTCTCTTAAAAAATAATGGCTACTTATTTGTTATAAATTCCCATTTGCAGATAGTGTTTTGGAGTTCTATTAAATATCTTGTTAAAATCAAAATACATTGTGTATATTAATTCCACACAAATTCACTTTAAGCCTTTACAGTATTGTTATTAATTGTTAAGGTTAGGCAAGTGAAGCAGTGGGACTCAAGAAGGAACAAAGAAATGTACAAGGTTTTGATCAATTCATTGTAAATATTAGTGCATTAAACCAGCCTATGCTATTATTATGAATAAATAGATATATTAATGTTTGTAACTCATCTATCAGTTCCATTAAATAATTGTTAATGGAGTTATGTCTTCTCTGAAGTTTTATTTGCTAATCATTACAAATTCCTTTCTCAAAAATATTGTATCTATGTAGTAATCTACTTAAGAATTAAAACCAATATGATCAAAAGAGTCTTAAATCAAATTACTTCTGTTTCTTTCATCTACTATTAATGACAGCATATGGTTATGACTGAGTCACTCTGTAACATTTGTCTATATATTATAATTTATAATAAGTTAAGATTTATCTAAGTCTCTAATCCATAATAATATAGAGTATATCTAGGTTATGTTCGTATTAGTCAGGGTTCTCTAGAGAGACATAACTAATAGGATATATGTACATATGAAGGGGAGTTTGTTTGGAGAATTGACTCACATGATCACAAGGTGAAGTCCCATGATAGGACATCTGCAAGCTGAGGAGCAAAAAAGTGGATTCATGTCCTTAAACCTTAAAATTAGGGAACCCAACAGTGCAGTCTGTGGCCAAAGGCCTCAGAGCCCGTGGCAAACCACTGATGTAAGTCCATGAAGCCAAAAGCTGAAGAACTTGGAGCCTAATGTTTGAGGGAAGGAAGCATCAAGTACAGTAGAAAAATGAAGGCCACAAGGCTGGACAAGTTGCTTATTGTACCTTTTCCTGTCTGCTTTTTTGAACCATACTGGCAGCAGCTTGGATGATGTCCACCCATGTTGTGGGTGGGTCTTTCTGAGACTGAGTCTTCCTCTCCCAGGCCACTGACTAAAATGACAATCCCTTCTAGTAACGCCAGGAAACTCCCAGATATGCCCCGAAACAAGACTTTGCACCCTTCAATCTAATCAAGTTGACACTTAATAATAACCATCACAATGTCCTCACATGTGACTCAGGCTACATATAAAACGTTATTTCGATAAATCCTCCATTTAATGTTTATATGCAAGTATACTTCAAAACCATTGACTTTTGTTAGCTCAAAGGTATAAAAACAAACATATAGAAAGAAAACAAATTGGGTTGTATATTTATTATAGTATTCATTATATATTTTGGATAGAAGTTCTGATCAGATAAAATGGTTTAAAAACATTTTTTCCACTGTGTAAATCATGTTTTACTTTTCTAATGGTATCCCTTGAAGCACAAACATTTTAAATTTAAATGTATCTATTTTTTAATTTTAATTTTAAAAAATTAAAAATTTTTAATTTAAAAAATATATCTAATTTTTCCTTTTGTCCTTACGCTTTTGATGTAATACCTAAGAAACCATTGCTTAACCAAAGGTCACAAAGATTTATGTTTTCTTCTGATAGTTTTACAGTTTTATCCCTTACATCAAGACCTTTAATCCATTTTGCATAAATTTTTGCACATGTTATGCGTCAGGAGCCCAGCTTTATTTTTTGTCACATGACTATCCAGTTACCCTCTCACCATTTACTGAAAAACATATAGTTTATCTATCGAGTGGTCTTGGCATCATTGAAAATTAATTTCTGTAAACGTGAAGATTTATTTCTAGATTCTCAATATTGTTCTATTAAATTATATAGTAAGGAAACAGTATATATATTGCATCAACATGTCTATCCTTTTGCCAGGATCACATTGTTCTTACTCCTGTAGCTTTGTAATACATTTTGAAATCGGAAAGTATGATCCCTCTAACTTAAGTTCTTAAGGCTAAAGAATTTGAAAGTAAACTGGTTTTATAAACTGAGTTGATCTGAAACTGAGTACATTTGAAGTTTACATTTGAAGAGTCTACATTTGAAGATTACATTTGAATTCATGAGCACATAAATTTTGTACTCGTTTTAAACCGAGTACAAAATTCAGCAAGAAGTTGAAGCAAATCTCAAAAATCAGCCAAGTAGCAATTCTATGTCCAGAAGAAATCAGTCTAAAAATACG